TTATTATGTTTCAAATAAACACAAACATACAAATTTTTAAATTTCAATATTTATTATGTGACCAATATGACAAATAATATGAATATTTTAAACATTAATACAATATGAAAGGGATGTGTTGCAATTGACCAGAATAATAAGCAAGAAAGCAATCATCATAACAACAAAAACCATAGTCAAGGCAAATAAATTCACATGATGAAATATTAAAGAATTATACAACAACTACACAATCATATAAACAAAGCACAAGGCTTCAAGTTACCTAAAAAATCCAATAGGAAAAAATGTTTTATTATGCAAAAGCAATGACATTGTGATCACGATCACAAAACTTAAAGAAAATGCAACACAACATGAATGTCCCATTATAGTGGAGCAGGACCAACGACAACATTGAGGTGAGGTGGTTTATGGTAGTGGATGACAAGTAATGTAGTGCAGGTAGGGAGGTGGTAGGTGGGAGAAAGATGTGATTGGGAGATTGAGGGATAATTTGAAAGGAGAGGGTTAAAAGCAAGGGGCGGTAAACTCACTGTTGGGTGAGGGGGGTAAGTGATGGGAGGAGGGGTAGGGGTTGGATAGGAAGTTGGATGCTGGAAATAATAGGGTATGGGTTGTAAGTGAAATTTTAGGAGGGTGATAAGCTGGTGACTGTGCATAAGGGGGTGCCGACAAGGTCTGTGATAGAAGAGAGAAAGGGAAGAAGTTGGTGGTCGGCGGATGTGAGCAGGACATACGACATTAGGGAGAAAGGGGGGATGGGTTACGTAAACCTACTAGAAGGCCCATACGAGTGCGACAATAAGTAGAAAAGGGAAGGATACATACCATCACATGAAGAGTTACATCCGAAGCACTTTCTCATCGTCTGATGGATCCTACAGGAGAAAATAGGATATCAAAGACTGTTCTAGTAGAAATCTCAAAGCAAAACTGAACTCTAACAACATAAAATAACATATATATGATTAAAAACTAGCATGGGGAGGCCCCTCCCTCTGGGCGACAACTCAAGCCTCCCCATAAGAGTTAGTCAACCCTATAGCCCCTTGACTAAATCGATTCAGTTGTTCTCTAGTCAGTTCAATCCTTAGAGAGTCTCATGTCAGTCTCACAGAATTGGAGGAGTTTTGACCTTATTTGTCAAAGCTTTTAATTATTCTCTGCAGTTCGAGAAGCACCTACATCTCACCAACGGCCGTACCATCCCTCAAGACACCCCAAGAATTTTTTTTGCTTACTATCAAACATTCATATCGACTCAATTTTATGGGAGCTCACTATTGATCTGAAATGGGTCTGTGTGTCACATGTATATTTTTGGATCCTCTCAGTAATTCAAAGTTTGCTCAACCTAATATGAACTGAAGTTAACATGAGTCTTCCCAAAATGTGGTGGCCATGATGATACGGTATTGAACATGATGTTCTAAATGCTTTTAATAGTGATTGTCCCATGCTTGACATTGGTGTCTAAGTCCTTTCATCTTCTATCATCACGAACTTTAATCTCATAGAGTCTTATTGGTTGATAAGGGCATTTGTAATCTCAGACTCCATATAAAGTAGAAATAAGGTAAACTTTACATCTTTGATGAAGGAGTATGGGTTCTTGTACCCATCACATTGAGTCTTAAGGTCACATCATTATGGTCTCCTCAGCAAAAGATGATAAACATCCATGGGTACCACATTACACCATACTTGATTTTGCAATCGGCTTCCATAAAAAAATCCACAAAACACCTTTTGCCAGTGTTGTCCATATTCTTCTTCTTTAACCATGTAAAAAAATATGTCATGGAATGCCTCTGAGCCACGGGGCTTTATTTCTGTACCATTTACATGTACACCACATTCTTACTGCTCCCTATATCGATAAAGAGACTACATATCTTTTCATTTATAGTGAAACAAGTGTATAATATGTCACGGTAAAGCTATTGCAGCTCCTTCATCTTCTTGATGTAGGACCCGACGACCACGAGCACCTCAATCATATCCAGCAAAAAATGACGCACCTCATCCTGTTCTTTAGCTGCTTCTTCATTGTTGACTTTTTTTGCCGCCCCTCACTTGGTAAAGGACACAACTTGACTTGTCGAGAAATTAGAGAGGATGTGCCCAAATCTATTGCATCTAAAGCACATCAGGTTGAAACTGTAATGGACGTGCTGCTCTTTATGGACTTCTTCTCACTCTGAGTGGCTATGTTCTTATTCTGATTCATATTCTTAACTACTCGAGACATGCACTTGCTGATTTCTCTCAATGTGGGTAGTTGTTGACCGCTCTATTTATGCTATCCATCATATTTCAATTTTATAGTTTGGACTTCTCCTAGTGACCAACAATGTTGTTGCTGCACAACGTTACTGCTAGTAGACTTCAAACCCCACCCCCTATATATCAAACTATGAAATATTTCACTGGCTCGACCAACTTACACTTCATCTGCAACTTGTCAAATTGTGCCGCAAACTCCCCCCCCTAATAGGTTTATTTACTGTAGGTGATGGAGTTAGAAAAATATTCTCACGGTAGTGAGACAATGTTTTCTCTACATATATTTTCTCATCTTCTCACAATTAGTAATATTGTCCCTGCCCTCTCTCTTTCTCTACCTCTGTAATTTTTTTTGCCACAAGGAGACACTCTTTTTTAGTTTGATGACTGCAAGTTTTACACTTTTATCCTTTGAAGCTTATTTGTTCTCAAAGATTCTCTCAACCGACTGCAACCGTTTAATAAAGTCATCTGTATCCATACATCTTTCAAACTCCTGTTGATCCACTTTGATGCACAAATTCTTGTGTCCTCATATGGATCATCATCCCTCAGCCTTATGTAATATTGATTTCAAAAATGTCAGAGTCTGTCTTCCTCATCACTGAAGTCTTCCCTATCGAAGAGTTCATGTCCCTAACCCTTTTTTCTTCTTTGACTATCCAGATTACGATAAGTGGTAATTTCTTATTGAGTTCCATCATCTATCTCTGCAAGTCTCTATTGAATCCGACATATCTCTCACTGTATCTTTTCCTAGGTTTGTTTTGACGCGTGTCTCTATTGTGGCCTGATAAGGGTTTGAGGATTAAGATATGTTGTTGAGGATAAGAAAGAGTTTTGGTGGGGTGGGTGATTTGGGTAAGACGAATGCTATGAAACCCTAGGATAATGCTAGGGTTAAGGCAGCTCCTGTACTAAATGATATCGAAATAGCAAAAAAAATCTAATCGTAAAATATATTTTATCATGCAAAAGCAATGTGATCACAATCACAACCTCAAAATATAAATAAAATGCAACACAACACGACACAATATTCTGTTATGTCGAAGTAGAACCAACAAGGGAGTAGAGGTGAGAAGGGTTGTGGTAGTGGATAACAAGGGATGTAATATATGTAGGGAGGTTGTAGGTGGCAGAAAGAAGTGGTTGGGAGGTTGGGGGTTAAGTAGTTGAAGAGGAAGGAAAGTTGGTGTTTGGTTGGAAGGAGGGGAATGAAAGCAAGGGTTTTATATAGTAGATAATGATGAGTGGCAGGCCCCTCCTTTTGACCTGCAACATCCCCTTGGCTGAAACAGTCCAGCTGCTCCCCAACTGGTTCAACGCTCAGGGAGCCCGACAACATTACCTGATAAGATAATCAATAGTCAAATATAAAAAACAATGATAACATTCATAACAACAAAAAGAATAATACACAATCATTACTTTGAGAGAAGTTATATAAGTTTTAAAATTTATCTTTGGTCGAACTATTAGTACCTAGAGAATTATTATGTAAGTCCAAACAATACAAAACATCCATTCAACTGCAATTATGCTAGTAAGGATATTAAAATTAATTTGGTATCAAGTAATATTTCATAACATGTACAAAACCATAATCAAATAAATAATTACTATTATTATTACACAAAGGATTGGAGAATTACTTGAAAATAACTCTATTTCAGCTTAATGAGTGTACTGGACAAAAGAGGGAAATAAACAATCTAATTGATTTCAAATTAAAAATAACATTATTTTAAGAAGAAAGTAGAAGCAAGGAGGAGGAGAGAACCCACATTGGCCTAAGTGACATTGAGTAATATGACAACAAAAGAGGATAGGTAGCTGCAAGTTTGAAGGAAGAAGAAAACGAGGAAGGTGATAGATGCAAGGGTTGTAGGAAGAAGAAAGAACGCTCGATTGAAGATGATTTACAGCTACAGGACGTAGTTCTACTACAACTTGTCCGATGCCTTAACTGTCGACCCTCTTTAATTGAGAAAGTATGCAGTTGAGGAGTTGTTGCTTATGAACAAATACATAAGAAATTGCTAAATATGTTGATCAGGAAGACAATGACGAGGAATAGAGAAGTCACACATCTCTGATGCAGTTGAGGAGTTGTTGCTTATGAACAAATACAGAAGAAATTGCTAAATATGTTGATCATGAAGACAATGACGAGGAATTGAGAAGTCACACATCTCTAAACAGGGAATGCGGCAAGAGAGAAAGCAAGGGAAACTCACGTGATTTGAGATGCGGCTGATTGCGAGGAAAGAAGGAAAATGGATCACAAAATTCTCATAATTCGATACAGATGGAGGCGACAATGGAGGAAGTGCAGGAAATAAAAGGTTCGGCACTCTCACTCATACCAATTTGCAATATATCATTTGATATTACGATAATAAGTTCAGTCTTTTCTATCACAACTGTTATAATATGGCATAAATTTAATCTTAGATTGAAGTCAAATCAATTTTGAGATTGAATGATTAACCACCCTACTTATAATTGATATTCGATTTGATCCAAGCTAAAAATTATTTGTTGAAAATTTAGGGTTCAACTACAAACTAAGGAACCGATTCAGTGAAATGTCTAGATTAGAATATTTTTTACTGTAGTACAAAAATAATCTCATTACATTATCATTATTATTATATTATGTAAATTATTAAAATTATATTAAAATTTATTAATCGTAATGCGTTCATTCTTCTTCCAATTCGATGTAGCGTCTGATTTTCACAAGCTTCAGGTCGTCATTCTTCTCAATTTGTAGCCACTGAACTTCATCGTCTTCCTCTTCTGCGTAATCTCAAATCCTCTCTCCGCAAGATATAATCTATATCTATGACAACGGCTTTCCTTCGTCCGCCATCTCTCACTAGTTGGCCGGCGTCTCCCTTTCCCCAATACAGCTCTCTCTCTCTCACTCTCACCCCTTCCCCTTCCTCTCCGTAAGACACATTTATTACAGTTTCAAAACATTATCTAAGTTTATGATGGGATTGAACAAACATGGTTGTAGGGGAAGAAGACGTGTTCCAATTCGAAAATGCTGCAGTCGTGCTTCATCCGCCTCTTTATCGCCCCTCTGTAAAGCTGGTTCTTTGAGGCGGGATGTGGTTTTACTTGGTTGTTGTTCGGCTATGACTGTCATCTTTCCAATTTCTAGTAAGAGATAAACATCTATTTTCTCATACGCTTTCTATGATGCCAAGGTTTTGGTTTATATGATTTTCTCTGCCGGGTTTTAATAGGATTCTGGCCAGTTTGATTTATGGCCGAGCATCTCATGCTTGAATCTGTTTTGCTTGGTTGACTTGTGATGTCATGTTGAGTTTTATATAATGCAGATTAAACGTTTGAATGAGATAATTGTTCATGCATTTCTGCTTCAAGGGCATCTAGGGTTTATCAAAAGATAAAAGAGTTCTCATGCAATCCCCTTGATGATGACAAGAATGTTGTTTGATATTAAAATTGGTTTTCTAATTCTTTGTCTTCAAATTTGTACCTAAACAATAATGGGAAGAAAAAAATATGGTATTGATTAATATGATTTCAGTCAGGAGCGATCAATAGGGCCTTTATGCTTTTGGAAGAACTCATTTGTTTGTATTTTTTGCTCTATATTATGAGGGAATGTATTTTTTGATAAGGGTAGCGGAACTAAAACCAAATAAGTGCGTGAAATAATCAAGACCAAATAAGTAGCCGAAAATCCATGAAGATGTAGAAATAGCTCTCTTATGGTGATGCCATCATGGTATAGAAGTATATGCTGTAAAATATACTATTGTTATATAGACATCCAAATGTAGACAACTGGAGGAGTGAAATGCCTTTGTAGTAACTAGTCAGACAACAACTTGTGCTGCAGCAGAGAATTGCCACCGATACGTAAGATTCATCAAAATCACACGAGGAATATTGCCACCGATACGTAAGATTCATCAAAATCACACAAGGAATCAATATCAACCAAAAACCATAATTGAAGCATTACAAATAAACTATCTGGTTG